TGTAATGCTGTTTGAATACAAGAAGGGAAACAACGCCTCTGTAGCCACAAAGAATATCAAATAAGTTTATATATTTAGTCCTATATATTCAGTTAACGAAGAATTCCCAACAAGTTGTAGTGCTACCACGATCAGCTTATTCATGAAGAATTGTCACAGAATTATTCGGAGAAGGATACTGATGATTATTAAATGATGTAGAACCAGATGACAGAACTTTTAGAGCTTTCAATGTTCCCCACGAAATATTTGCACAGCTGACAGTTTCGGGCAGCTACGAGCTACAAAATCACACCCTAACTCAGTCCGAAGGAAAACCACAAAGCGAAGGGCTAGCTTTATAAAGAATTTTTTGATCTCCCCCCCCCAAAAAAAACAACAACAACAACAACAAAACACATTTTGGAATATCAATTGCTAACGTTTACCACATAATAAATAAGGATTTGAAGTTGAAAACGGCTCACAATTTTCTAGCGACTCATCCAAAATTAAAAGATGGCTGCATAAGCTGGAATCCAACAATCATGTTCGACAACTTACCTATCAAGTTTCTCGATACAGATTCAATGGACCTCTGTGCTCTGGGTTGCTTGAGACATGACTTTGGAAGCCAACATCCATATACATAGAAAAGTCTATACAGGATTTGCTAATTTGAATTTCTGTCTTTGGAAAACACTTGTTACAATAAAAGATAAATGCATATAATCATAGCCATAAAACTGACCACGATCAACGGTGGAGGAAGGAGTTCCAAGGACAGTACATCGTTTTTATAACATGCGATTAACTTTATACCAACACATAAATAAAATACAGAACAACAAAAGCTACTTAAAATATATCCTAATATTCTAAGTATAAGAATATTTAAAAACACACGGTAAATATATATACACGTATAAGTATTAAATCTGAAAAAATATTATTGCAAAGATGTACTGTTTTGCTATAAGCCTAGTCTGTATTGTTATATGATTATAGTGCTGAAAATAGAAACCAATATTTGTTACTACGGCGTTTTATATTTAAAACAGTTAATACAAGAAATTGAAGCATAAATCCTAACTCTATTCAAAATATAATTTGCTTTCTAAACATGACGTTTAACGAAGAAAAAACGCCCCCTGGATATGCTGAGTGCAGATTTTTATCCAGTAGATAATAATATATATAATAAAATGTGCCACAGCTAACATTGTATCAGTTTATTCCTTGTTATGAATAAACAAAAGTTATAATTATAAATAAACAAATTGTCCCTACTTACCCGTTCTGGCTAAGCGTTTAGCTAATTCTCTAGTAAATAGTATATTGGCCAATTTGGTGTGACTGTAGGCAATGTCCGAGACATAGGAGCGTTCGCTGTTTAAATTGTCAAACCTGATAGTCCCAAGTCTGTGGCTTTCTGATGAGACGTTGATGATTCTGCTTGGAGCGCTTTTTTTTAATAAATCTGTTTACATAAAACACCGTATTCTACACAACAATCTGGTTGATGAACATGAACAAAGAGAGTCTTAGACTTTGTATCTCATACACAGTGTTAATGAAGTAAATTATCAGACTATGTATATGGTATAAGAAAATTTATACATGAAATCGCAAAAGCTTCCACGTAAAAGAAAAAAAACACACAATTATTAATTACACGTAGAACATACAGCCTTCTCAATCGCGTTTATTATTATTTTAGTTTAATAAAAATGGGGTAAGGATATAATCACGTGTATTTACTGTCGAAAGTTGAGGTTCGAAAACTTCATTGTGGATTGTAACCAACAGAAATATTAAAACCTGTAACAGTTAACAAATATATGTGACAAAGGTCTTCTAGTAAAGAAGCATTCGGATGGCATATAACTTTAGGATGTAGATGAAATAATAATTTATATATCTAGTGATGATTTCTTTGCTATCCTGTAAAAACGTCAATTATTTTTGCAACTGAAATGTGGATGAGTCAGGTACTTACCTATAGTTTCCTGTGTTATAAAAGTGACAGTCAACCTTATAATTTGGTTCAAAGAGCCGGACAAAGCTCTTCTAGCAGCGTGTGCTCTGGTCAATAGTTCAAAACTAGGGATAGCTAAAACTGAACCTTAGGAATTTCTCACCAGGCCGTTTAGCTCAATTTAATATTTATGTAGCTTTGACGTGAGGAGTATATACGCGTGCTGAATGTATAAGTGCGTGTAAGTCTGATTTCTTATAATGCACAATGGTAGTTAAGTTGTATTTTTGTACAAGAACTTTGATGCAAAGAAAGTGTAATGTTTGGTCAAATTATTCCTATTCTATTGTGGGACAGTAGAAAGCTACAATAACAACAGAGCCAAGAATGGCCCTGTGGTTAAATTGCCAGACTGTGTGATCAAAGATTCCGTTATTCACAACTTCATTATCTCAAATAAAAAAGGAAGAATCGCGCTCCAGACTTTGAGATTGTAAGTGATTGTAAGAGTGATGATTAAATCCAACTATGTCCACTAGTTGGCGCTGGGGGGAGGGGGTGTTGACTAGTTGCCTTTCCTTTAGCCTATCCCTTTAAATTAGCAACTCCTCAAATAACTTTACATAAATACTAATAAACGACAATTATCAAAACAAAGTTTTAGTTCTTTCCTATAGGGAAACATAGAAGTTACTATTATTACGTCATTAACAATTCAGAGGTAAACTACAGATGCCAGTATAGTTTTCTGTTTAATCAATGAAAGGGTTTGTAAATGTTCGTTTTCCTACCCATATGCCAATCCAACCACCCTTTCGTGTGGATTGATTAATTACTTGTCTTTCAACCATTATGTTTTAGTGCAACCAGTCTTTCGTCATATGAAACAGAAGTGTAGAGTGACTTGGTATATAAGGTGAATATATAAGGTTTCTATGGCCTATTAAATGTGTGCATTGAAGGGAGATAGCATGAATAGTGTAAGTTGGTAAACTTGCAACAAAGAATGGTAAGGCTTCTGGAGGGAAATCTATCCTTGGCACGAATACAAACGGATACAATGTGGTGGTCATTCTTTATGAACTTTCGGGAAAAATTAGAATACGGAAGGTCTCGGGTTTTCTACAGTTCAGATTTTATCATTAATAAGCATAGTTTTAGGATCATCCAATTATTTTATTAAAGATATGACCAAGTCATCAGTCCAGGAAATTGAGCAGTTCTGGCAACCGGTGTAAAATATAGATATCTCAGTTTATAGTGAAAACTGAACGACGAAATAATTCATCTACATCTTACCAAGAAGAAGATTTGTCAATAAAAAATGGCCAAGATGATTCGTTGCGAACGTTGTTTCATAACCGTCCACTGTTAGAGTCCGCTCTCGTAATGCTAGATGTATATAAGATATAATACACTTTGTATTAAAACATAAAATAGCTACATTTCAACTAGCGTAGCATAACATACTTACGAAGGATAGTTACATTTTAATTAATGGCAGTACCGATAACACCAAAGACAGGATTATAATCGGTAAATCAAGGAAATGTTCTTACGAAAGAAACTAACAATGAAACTAGTAGTGTATGTAAATTAGCAGCAACATTTATGTTCGTGTAATAGACTAACTTCCTGCTAAAACCGGCTGCATAGTGTATCTAGGCTAGGTTTTTATGAAAGACAGCTGTTTACAATTCGACCTAAAGAGAAACATCTATTTTGTGACATTTGGAGCAGACGCTATTCGACAGGGGATAAATAAATTTGACAATATTAACCATAAATAAAATAGTAGTCTGCAGGTCAGTGAAATCTGCCCTACCACACAAAAATATTAAAACAAACAAAAAATACACGTCCAGGAAAGAAAATTTTTTATCTCATTTAATAACAGCTATTCGAGCAACTGTTCTTCATCATGAAAGAAGTCTACTCGAAACTCACTAAATAAACGCTTCTTCAATGTTAGCGTGTGTCCTAATTTCATTTGCTTATGTGAATTCCCGCTTTTTGGCTTTTGCTTTTTATAATGTTTATATCCTAATTAGTGTGGAGAAAAGTTACCTCTTCAAAGAACAGTTAATTTGTAATTACTTTGTGAGGACAACTACCGCATTTGCCGGTGTATGATACGATACTTTTTGCCCTTAAAACAATGCCTGATTTTACCTCTCATATTATATACAGATTCAGATATAAAGTTCCAGTAAGAGCTCTCTGGTTAATAGCATATTTAACCAAAAACTACGTTGTTACTTTTGCTTTTTTAAGTAAATGTGTTGACATCATACCATATACTGTATTACAATAATATATTTGTAATTGTATCATTTATCTCACATGCTAGTTACAATTAGTCTAGATATTTTTGATTTGAAATGTTTGTTTGTTTTGAATTTCGCGCAAAGCTACACGAGGGCTATCTGCGCTGGTTTCTAGCGTTGTAAGTCCGCAGACATACCGCTGTGGCACTGGGGACCCATTTCTGTTACAAGAAAAAATATACCTTAAGATATAGTGATCTGGTATAAAAACATGTTAACAAAATTAGCGTACGTTACAGAAACTAACTTTTTTGATATAATATTAGCAATATTTTAGTATGACGGATGAGGTCAATACATTTCAAATTTGGGCCCGGCATGGCCAGGTGGTTAGGGTGCTCGATTCGCAATCTGAGGGTCGCGGCTTCGAATCCCCGTTACACCAAACATGCTCGACCTTTCAGCCGTGGAGGCGTTATAATGTTACGGTCAATCCCACTATTCATTGGTAACTGAGTACCCCAAGAGTTTTCGGTGGGTGGTGATGACTAGCTGCCGTCCCTCTAGTCTTACACTGCTAAATTAGGGACGGATGGGTTTCGATACCCATGGTGGCAGAGCATAGATAGCCCATTGTGTATCTTTGTGCATAACTTCAAATAGATAAATATAAAAGGAGTTCAGTTTTGATTAGATGTTTGTGACTTAAGTTATGCCGCATGAGCTCTCTGTAGCATTTGAAGAACATAAAAATCACACTTGTAGTTGTATTGACGGGCATAGTATAAAAATAACTGCCAAGAATTTCTTTACAAATGTATCATCCTAGACTTGCTAGGCAATAGCGATCGTCCTATACACCAAACCTCAAGGAAATAAACTTAATTTGCTCCAAAAATTCAGGGTCGTCATATACATGGGATCATATTATACAACGGCAAATACGGTAAATTTTGACAATCGTATTGAAACATTTCTTACAAAAGCCAGCAACATTCTTAACACTACCCTGAAAGTAACATTTTACTAATTGACCCACATTTTTATAAATGCTTTGAAAAATAGTTTCTGAACACAGTCGGCCACATTCGTATTAGTGGGTTCAATCTAAAAGCAAGGTCTATTGTTTTTACTACATTAAAATTAATTTCTTACTAAAGTTAACAACATCCTTGTTAATGGATTTGAAAGCAGCTTCCCTCCCAAGCCAACCACATTCTTATTAGTGTGTTGAAAGAAACTTCCAACCAAAGACAGATATATTAATAATGATTGAAGACGGCTTGAATGGGCAATGAATAAAAACTTTAATATAAGTTTAATATAACAGCAAATGTACAACGTTTCGACAAGGTTT